CTGTACATATTCAAAACCAACGAATTATATACTTCACATGATAAACTGTATGGTATGTAAATTGTATCTCAATAAACTCTTAAAAAATCTACACTGGGATATCACATCTGACCTATCAGACTGGCAAGACTTCAAAATTTTGGCAAAATCCTCTTGGCAAGATTGAAAAACGGACACTCTTGCATGCTGCTAATAAACATGTAACACTGACTCATCCACTGTGGAGAGGAATTGGGACTATCTAATGAATAGAGCCATTTGTTCTTTGACCCAGAAATCTCACCTCTGGGAATTAATCTTGGTGATACTTATGCACAAGTTTATTTGATGTGGGATCATATGTAACAGTAAAAGCATGGAAACAAATGACCATCAGAAAAGTACCTGTTGACTAAAACTTACTTCATCTAAGCAATGAAGTAATATAAAAGCACAAAACAGAATTAAAAAAAAATCAACTGTTGGAATGATCTCTAAGATTTGCAGATAAAAAGCAAAGTGAAGAACAGTGTAGGGAAGACATAGAAATAAGAATGCAAACATATACATATCACATAATACACACAACTACATATACACACTTATTTTTACCAAAAGAAACATTGAAGTATGAGCCAGAAATTAATAAAAACGTTTTCCAAAGACAGCAAGAGGTTGAAAGTATAGAAAGAATGATGATAAAAGGCAAACTTCTGCGTATACCTCTTTCTCTTTATATAATTTTTTTTCTTCCTTTTTTTTTTTTTTTTTTTTTTTTTTGAGACTGAGTCTCACTTTATTGCCCAGGCTGGAATGCAGTGGCATGGTATCAGTTCACTGCAACCTCACCTCCGGGTTCAAGCGATTCTCATGCCTCAGCCTCCAAGTAGCTGTGATTACAGGTGCCCACTATCATGCCTGGCTAATTTTTGTATTTTTAGTAGAGATGGGGTTTCACCATGTTGGTCAGGCTGGTCTCGAACTCCTGACCTCAAATGATCCACCCATCTTGGCCTCCCAAAGTGCTGGGATTACAGGCATGAACCACCACACCCAGCCAATTTTCACATTTAAACCATGTAAATGTTTTACAAATTTAAACAAAATTACATTGAAAAGAAAAAGAAGCTCTGCATCCTAAAATTGGAAATGGACTGAAAGAAGTGAACTCAACTATATGCCAAATGGGAAAGACAACCACCCTTTACTTTGAATGTATACTCTTAGCCAGATATAGGGACAATATGGACTACAAGGATGTCTTAAACATTACTCAGTGGTTTCCCTGATTTTGTGACATTTTATTTATATCTATACATAAAATACATATTTTATGTATATTGTGGATAAAAGCAAATAAATATTCTTATTTTTTAGAAAGCAAGATTTTGACTGTCAGAGTATGGAGTTGCAAATATGAAATCAAAGTAGTTAAGAAAGAATTTATAATGTTAAAATTAAACTAAAAATATCAATATAAATCCATTATTTCTTCCATTCAGTCATTCCATCACTCAAATATTCATTTCTTTCTTATTTCCTTGCTCTATAAGTCATTTTTTTGGGGGGGCTTTTATTAATTTATTCATTCACTCAATAACATGAGGCATATCCTTACAATTAAGGTAGACTTGGGAGCCAATACACAACTCTTATTCATTCATTCAATCATTAAGCCCTAGATGCAAATAACTTAGCACCCAGAGCTTGGCTTCTAATTATAATTCTTCTATAAAAGTAATCAAAGCCCCTTGGAGAAATGGTTAATTCCATCCTGAGCCACCATAGGGTTTTGCCAAAAGGACACAGTTCCCAGCCTAAAGACACTCCCACAACTGCCCAATGTGGGATCATTTGAGCGCAGAAAAATTTAATGTTGTTCATTCCACACTGACAAGGGAAAGCTCTTCTTCATAGAATAATATCACTAAAAGAAAAATAAAAAATGCTAATAGAATTCAAAAATCAACATTCTACAACCCAAAAAGAAAAAAACTGAATCAGGCTAGGATGATCAACAGACAAACTGATAATGAGTTGGGAGGAATATATATTTGCATGATGCCCAAGTAGTCACCCAATAGAATACTTGCTAACTGGAAAGGGAATGCCACGGCCTTACAACAGAGAGATTTGAAAGTCGTGACCTTAACTAAGAAAGCCAACTAAGCATTAATAAATGTGAGACAACTTAACATTACACGGTTTCTAATGGGATGCAATATTAAGTATACAATATCACTGATAAAGTATTCTTGCCAAAAAACTTAATCTGAATATAACCAAGATTTTATACCTGATTTACAGATTACAGTAGATTCAGAGGATAGAAAAATGGCTTAACCACACCACAAGAAAATTATCAGACAAATCCACACTGTACAATATTCCATGGGATGAAGTCTTAAAAACTCAATATGGTTACATCAGGAAAAACAGCTAATGCATGCTAGGCTTAATACCTAGGTGACAGGTTGATAGGTGTAGCAAACTACCACGGCATATAACTGCCTATGTAAGAAACCTACACATCCTGCACATGTATCCTGGAACTTAACATTAAATTAAATTAAAAAATTTTTTAAAGTCAATGTGGTTGGAAAAAAAATGTTGTAGTTAAACACAAACAAAACAACAGTGTGGGCAACACCCATCTGCAGGGATGTGCACACATGGAAGGACTGTTCTTTATGAAGACATACTAAAGAGACCTAACAACCAAATAGGATGGAGGAACCATTGGATCCTCTTCAGAGAAAGGTAAATTGTGACAAATTGGGATACTTGAATGGACACTTCAAACGATATGATGGAACTGCCCATTTTCTTAGGCATAATAAGTATATTATGATTATGTAGCAAAAAGTCATCATTTTTAAGTATGCATGATTATTTAACAGTGAAAGAGCTGAGGTCTGCAAATTAATTTCAAATGGTTCAACAAAAAATATATATTTACATATATACGCAGAGATAAAGTACATTTGTTTTATCTAGTTAATGAGAAAATGTGTAATCATCACACTCCTTCAAATTGTATGACTGAAATTTTTCATATTATAAAAACGAGAAAAGCTTGAAAAACAACCAATTAAGTTCTAGTAAATTGATAAATATAAAAATAGAAGTTAATGAAATAGAAAAATGTTAAGGCAAATTTATTCAATAAAGTTAAAAATGGATTCTTTGAGAAGAATAATGATAGACAAAAGGCTTGGCTACTCTGGCAAAAATAAATAGTGAGAAGGCAAAATTAACATTAGAAAAGAGAAAGATGATGTAACAACAGACAAGAAAATTCAAAAATTTAAACTAATTATTGTATAATGGTATACCACATACATTTTAAAAGCTACGTGAAGGCTTGGCAGGGTGGTTCATGCCTGTAATCCCAGCACTTAGGGAGGCAGAGGTGTGAGGATCACTTGAGGACAGGAGTTTGAGACCAGCCTGGCCAACATGGTGAAACCCCATCTCTACAAAAAATACAAAAATTAACCGGGCATGGTGGTATGCGCCTGTAGTCCCAGGTACTCGGGAGGCTGAAGGGGGAGGACTGCTTGAGCGCAGAGAATGGAGACTGCAGTCAGCGCAGATCACATCACTGCACTGTTGCCTGGGTAACACAGTGAGACTCTGTCTCAAAAAGAAAAAAACAAGTTAAATTGGTATATTTTATTATATATATATTTTACAGCAATAGAAAAGCTGTAAAACTGTACTAATTAGAAACTATAATAAATACTCTTTACTTATTGATATTCTGCTTAACTGGAGCAGGTTATCAGAAATTCCAGATCAAGCTCAATTTCTAAATTAGTAACGAGGTATAGATCTGTATTTAACACGTATTAAATAAACATTCTATTTACAAATTCATTTTTACGCCTTTTAGAATTTAGGTTTCAGAATTATTCAACAGTTTTCTACTTATACATTTCTCATATGTAAGTCACCAAAGATTCACTGGGCAGATATGAGTAAAAAGAACAAATATAGACTTTTTACTATCACAGAGCTTCTGAATAAGACAAAAAATTAGTGGATCCTGCATTTGAGATATTTATTCATGAGACCCTAACATATCCTATGAAATGCCATTATTTAAAAGTTAAAACCTTTAGAGTTATAATCAGGATAGTTATTAAGGTAGAACTTCTACCAAAATTAGGCTGTGAATGACCTGGAACCCTATAGTCAGTAGGATCTAAGCCAGAATCTATATTTAGACAGTCATTCTGAGGACTGTAATATTACTAGCTCTGGGCAGCTGAATAAGCCGGTAGATTAATGGACTGGAGAAGTAGACATGCTATATAAATATATTAAAAAAGTTGCTGAGTTTCTGAGAGTTTTAGAGTACGAATGTTCTCCCTCTCTTCTCATAACTAAAAGGAATGTATTTGATATTAGAGGTGATTAACAGGAGAGTTAAAAGCAAAGTCCCTGGAATGCAAGATCACATTTCATGTATCAAAAATTAAAGATCTTTACAAAATAAGGAGAATAAAATATGAAGATTTACAAAAGTTCCTTTGGCTAGCAACAAAGAATCTACTAAAACAGACTAGTTTATTTCCAGAAAATAAGTAAATGAAGCTCAGGTTATATTTTTCTGTTACTGACATTGTTCAAAATTTTCCATCTATGAGCAGTAATTTGAACTTTATTACTATTTAAAAATTATTCACCATGTCATACTACCCCTCCTTCTGCTAATCAACATTTCTGATTACAGATTTTTTAAATGCCGCTTTTAATTAAAATATAACTTATTTCCAGAATTTTAAGTAAAGCTATATGATTTATTGCAAATTATGGTTTTGTAAAAAGGGCATCCTGCTTTCTTCAAATTGAGATGAAAAACAAGGCTAATATGCCCAAGAATAAGATAAACCTTCTCCAACATAAGCTGGCTGAATTTTCTGACTGAAATATGCTTCTACATTCCAGTAATTTCAGACAGTAGTAAACACAAAGGGGGACATGACAATATTAACAGCAAAACTCCACTAACTTACTGAAAGCAATTTGGCCCAAATACAGTGGCGAGATTGTGAACATTCATGCGATTCTGCACATGATGCTTGGCTACTTTTGTCAAGAACTGGCAAAGGTATTTGAGGAGGCAGTAGTGGGTGTCTGGCAGCTCTTTTATTAAGTCTCTTAAGCTACTCTCCTGAACATCATTTCTGCCATCTGGAAAAAAAAAGAATAAAAATGTTCTCAGGTATATTTCACAGTAACAACAACAGAAGCCATAGGTGTAATAAATTCTAACATTTTATTCAGAGAAAAACTCTTGAGAGACTGAGACAGGCTTTACATATTTGATTTTATGTTAAAGAATTACTAACTTATGCAAGAAATCTAAAAAAAACCCCACAAGTTTTATTCAATGCACAAAATGGGTTTGTGTTTCAATTTTATGTTTTCTTCCTTAAAATTAAGACAATGGTTAGGTTTTTGATCCACAGCAGAATCTTCCATTTGATTTTTGTCTTCAAGTTTGTTAAAACCAGGATTCTCTTGAGGAAAATTTGATATGAGAGATCTTCAAGGGACACCAGGGGGGATGCTGAACTTAGTGATCAGGATACTGTACACAGAGAAAACTGAAGGAAACCTTTAATTCCCAAACAGCTTTTTAATCTTGACAAAGATTATCTCCTTGACCAATCTCTAGTCAGATTTCTCTGAGCTTTTTTCAACTAAGCCCTCTTCTGGGCTTGTCCTCAAGAGTCCACTTCCAGTAACAACACTGCTAAGTCAGTTCAGTCAAAATTCCCCACCATTCATATCTGATAACCCTCCATATCTGAACAAATTACTCATTTCCCATCATCCTTCAAATCATGTCTGATCACCTTGGCCTGCCTTCAGCAAGAAACTTGTTAGGTCAGTTTAGCCATAATCTCTCTTTACCCTTGAGGTTTCCTCTCAGTAATTTTCCACCCACTACCTGCCGCTTATCCCAACCCTGCAACATGGCTATGTAATTCCCACTTTCCCTTGTATTCCAAGTTGAGCCCAATCTCTCTGCCCCAACTGCAAAACCCCAAAGCAGTAGTCCCTCTAGCTATCATAATAGTCCTGAATAAAGATTTCCTTACCATTCTTTAACAAGTGTCAGAATGAATAACTTTATCTTCTTTTTCTTCTTTTTTTTTATAAAGGAGTTTTGCTCTTCTCACCCAGGCTGGAGTGTGGTGGTGCAATATTGGCTGCTTCAGCCTCCCAAGTGCTGAGACTATAGGTGCCTACCAACACGCCCGGCTAATTTTTGTATTTTTAGTAGAGATGGGGTTTCAACATGTTGGACAGGCTGGTCTTGAACTCCTGACCTCAGGTGATCCATCTGCCTTGGCCTCCCAAAGTGTTGGGATTACAGGTGTGACGCACCACACCCAGCCAGAATAACTTTTTCTTTACAATATCTAACATGTCATATAGTTCAGAATTTGATATATCTTTCTCATACAAAAGACTAATAACCCAGCAATACCCCAAATTGTCTAACGATATACCAAAATTCATAGGCATACATATGAAAAGTCTCTCTCAAGTCTCAAAGATTTGTTTTGTCATTATTAAATACAGTAAAATTGTTAATTTTTGTGACTTTGTATAATGCTTTCTCTTGGAAGAAAATAAAAGTATTTTATAACAAATACAGCAGTTTAGAGGAATGACTACAGTCCATTACTTTAACAGACATCTAAGAGAATGAAAATGTAACTCAGTTACAATTAATAAGCAGTTGTACTGCCTACCCAAGTCAGCTTTAGCCAGTTAAGTGAAGAAGAAACAGAAAAATGAGAGAAATGAGATACAAAATCAGAGGATTAATCAGTGCTACAAATCACCTGGATAACATAATGCTACAGACAGGAAGTGAAAATATACAGCAAATCAAACACAGTAACATCGAGAGGCTTCAGAGTACAGGATCAGAATGAAGCCTCAAGTCATTTCTGAGGTGAGGAACCTGGTTCTGCTACTTACTACCTATGTGACCTACATTGCGTTGTTTATGATGACTATTTTCCACTGCACTATGACCTTAACTAGCAAGGATATATAAGAGATTAAAATAATTAAGTTGGCGTGATTAAGAACTAATCGGAGATATCCATTTCTCATGCCTTTATATTATAAAAGTAAACAAACAATGAACCAAGAGAAAATGTTCTGCCTTTTGTGTGGTGACTAATTCAAAGTGAGTCTATGGGATGTTTTCACTAGTGTCTGCTCTCTGTTTAAACTGTGGTCTGATTCTCAGCATTTAAAGATACAAGCAACAGAATTACAACAGCCTTGATAATCAGACTCTGGCCTCTGGCTCTGAAATGAAACCTCAAACCACAAGGCAGGCAATGTGTAAAGATACCAGGTCAAAAAAAAATAAAGATTCAAAATATTTATGAATTTATGACAATAACATCTTTGAAAAAGCAGCAGCATTTTCATCATTTTCTAATTTTTGAAATACGATAAACAATTTTTCCAGGAAATAAAATTGCCAAATAATGGGAAGGGAGACAGATGTATTTAGAGAGTTTCACGTTTAGCAAAAGAACATAAAATCCTTTTATGTTCACAGAAGATATCACAAAACATATTCTCAAAAGTCAAAAGTGACTGAGAAAGAAATATCTCATATCTACCTCCTTCCATTTCCACAGGATTTTTGTTTCCTGTGATGGAAGACGGATTCATAGATTCCTGGATTCACCAACTGGGCAAGGTTGTCAGTGTCCTCTCCATCAGTGGCTTTGACAGCAGCACACTATTTATAATTTACCCCTTGAATCCCTGTTCAAATACACTGACAGCGAAGACCTTAATTCATTAGCATGATATTTTGCCTCATCTCTTTTCATACTGGTTAATTATGTATCTGCATTTTGTAAAGCGTTTCCAGAAATATCTGGTAAATATCACCATTACTCCCAGCCTGCTGCAACCCTACAAATAAGATTTCCTACATATGAGAATAATAACTGCTCAACACCTTCAGAGGAGGCTTATAGAAAAATGCCTATGATAGCAGCATGGGGGCAGTGGTGGTACAAATGTGCCTATTAGGAAGATGTCTTCTGATGCTTGCAGGAAAGAAAGCTCATACTAATTGGCAGGGTACGGTGGCTCATGCCTGTAATTCCAGAACTTTGGGAAGCCAAGGAGGGTGGATTGCTTCAGCCCAGGAGTTCCAGACCAGCTGGGCAACACAGCGAAACCCCATCTCTACAAAAATTAGCTGGGCGTGTCGGCACATGCCTGTAGTCCCAGCTACTTGGGAGGTTAAAATGGGAGGATCTCTTGAGCTTGGGGAGGTCAAAGCTACAGTGAGCCATGATCATGCCACTGCACTCCAGCTTGGGTGACAGAATGAGACCCTGTCTACAAAAAAAATAAAAGTTCCTATTACTTTGCTATGGCTTAATTTTTTGCTTTATGGACACCTAAATACAATAAACACTGCCTTATCTGTTCATGTTCTTGTATTTATATTGTTAATTATGATAACTCCCTTAAGGTCTCACATTATAACAGATTTCACAATGCTTCTATTTTTATTTACATGCATCCAAAATGTACATTTATTGCACACTATGTATGATGTTTATCACACACTTTCTATGTGCTTAACATTCTCTAAAATCAGGGAGACAGCATTAAACAAAGCTGTGATGGTTAATATTGAGTGTCAACTTGACTGAAGGACCAAAGTATTGTTCCTGGGTGTGTCTCTGAGGGTGTTGCCAAAGGAGATTAACATTTGAGTCAGCGGACTGGGACAGGCAGTCCCACCCTCAATCTGGGTGGGCACCATCCAATCAGCTGCCAGCACAGCTAGAATAAAAGCAGGCAGAAAACCATGGGAGGACCAGACTGGCTGAATCTTCTGGCCTCCATCTCTCTCCCATTCTGGATGCTTCCTGCCCCTGAACATCAAACTCTTCAGCTTCTGGACTCTTGAACTTACACCAGAACCACTCTTGGACCGTTGGATTTTCCAGGGGCTCTCGGGTCTTCAACCACAGACCGAGGGCTGCACTGTGGGCTTCCCTACTTTTGAGGTTTTGGGACTCAGACTGGCTTCCTGGCTCCTCAGCTTGCAGACGGCCTATCGTGGGACTTTACCTTGTGATCGTGTGAGCCAATACTCCTTAATAAGCTTCCTTCATATACAGGTATTGATCGACTTACCACCTGTGCAACTTACGACCATTCAACTTTACGACCACAATTGCTAGCCACAACTGCTCCGCGTCTGGCAGCGCAAACGTTGCCCAGCTGGGCGTACGACAGTGCGGGCCAGCTTCCGGCAGCACTACCATCTCCGCATGCACCATTTCAACTGTACATATAGCCTACTCAACTTACGACCAAATCGTGTTACGACCGGCCCACAGTCCTGACCGTGGTCGTAAGTCGAGCACTAGCTGTATTCATCTATCCTATTAGTTCTATACCTTTAGAGAACCCTGACTAATACAAAAGCAAACTCCATGCCCTTATGAAACATTCTAATCTAGGGGTAGACAGACAATTAAAAAACAAATGTTTAAAATATATGTGAAGTGGTAACATACGTGTTATGACTTAGAAATAACACATATGTTACCATCTACACATAGAAAGCAGGGTAAAGAGGAGGAAAGCAGAGTATGTTGGGGTAGATGTTATTTCTCTCAACATGGTCAGGGAGGCCCCTCTGATAACGTGACATTTGAGCAGAGCTGAAAGAAATAAGGAAGTGTGTAGTAGGCAGGGAAACAGCACATGCAAAGGCCTCCTGAGGTGGAGTTCCTGGGGATGGGGCTAAGGGTGGGTGAGGAGAGTAGCAGGAGATGAAATCAGGAGACAATGCAGAGAGGGAAAGGACAAATCATTGCTGTCTGATTAAATCTGATTAAAAGCCATGGTCTTTTAATCAGACCATGTTTTTGTTTTGTTTTCTGTGTGAGGGTTTTGGGCTGTGGAGAGACATGATCTGCTTGCGGACCACTCTGGCTGCTATGCTGAGTCTAGACTGCAGTGGCACAGTTGAAAGCATTAAGATTACTTAAAAGACTACTGCAATCATCCAGAAGGAAAGGGCCTCGTGGCCTGTATCAGGCTGATGCTGGTAGGATGGTTAGACACAGGGGTGGATTCTAAATGCACCTTTAATTTGTCTTGTGCTGGAAGTT